TCTGTTTTTACTGCACAGTTTATGTGACCCTGTTATCCGGAAAATGAATATTTCCGCCCTTGTTTGTAATGCTTTTGACATTACTTGACCTACAGAGCATCTTCTCTTTATTCAACTATCAAGTCGGTAAATATTGGTGGTTTGGTAATTAATCTGATTAACTCAGTCTTGTAAAAGAATGGCATGGCTTCGATATATATGCTCGTAAGCCAATATAAGATGAGGAGATAAGCTATGATGAATTAGCATTTCACGTGCATGTAAAACCTTTTGTGGCATCTTCATTGTTTGTGCAATCGTGTTGGGTTTGTGGGGATTAATGATTATCATGTCTTCCTTTGAAATTGATGGTTCGTCTGTTATTTTATTTTATGGAAGAACTCTACCATATATGCTATACTTTTGGTTGGGATTGCAGTCATCTGGCATTAAGGTTGGCTATGGACGGCCCCAAGGTCAAGCTGGGGCAAGAGATGGATCAGTTGCACAAAGAGGTGGATGCTGCAGCTAAAATGTAGATATATCAATGTATATGATTGTGCATCTTGTCTGTTGTGCTTGTTGGATTTGATGAACGTAGTATCTTTCACCAAACCTATAAAACGAACGTAAAAGAAGTGTATAGCGCAAGTTTCAGTGCAAGTAAAGTGACTGATATATACCTGTATAATCTACCGAGTTTATGGGCTGCTATATTCGACATGGTATGTATCCCCCCGGCACAAACTCAGTTAGCATTATTCATAGAAGTGTTAAATTGGACCCTCTTCAGTGCATCAGTTTCTAGAGTAAGTAGCCAGAAAAGTGTGGCATTTTAAATTCAACATAAGTAGAGCAACTAGAAATAAAACTCGAAATGAACTTTTAAAACTTGCACATAAATAGATCCATCAACAAAATGGAATATCAAATTACTAATCTTTTCGGGTATATTGGGCATTCCCAATGAATTGAATCAATTAAATATTTGACAACTTGAATTTAATACTGTTTTCATCTACTGTTAAAAAAATTCCAACGTCAGTGGCAAAGCATAAGTTAGTAACAATGAAAAAATTAAAATGCACGAAAGGTAATGATTTCCTATATAAATCGTCAAGCCCACGCATTGTGAAAAATAATACAATCCAAGCAATCGAAGGTACCACATTTACACACAAGAAGAAAAAAAATATATATATTGGGAATATCAAACTAGCTAACAGAATACTTAGTAGAGCTTTATTCGGGTTTGGATCGGATTTCGGCACACTGGACAAAGCTTGAGGTCTTCTCCGCAATCACAGCATGTCTGAGAAAAGGAAAAAAAGGGGTAAAACGTAAATCTCACCCTCCACATATTTTCTCAAATATAATGTGATGACACACCACGCATAGATTTACCTGATGCCCACAACCAAATGCCAAGTCCTTCGGGTTACTAAGGCAAATTGGACAAATCTGCACAGGAAAACAGGTATTGGGTACTTTTTTTATGACACTGGTAATAAAACAATTAAGGGGTGACAGTTGAAATGGTGATCGAAATGGGAAA